AGCCCCGTTATGTGATACTTATTCCTCCTCTCATGTTGTATGTAGACAGTTGGAGGCAGATATTTGGATGTATTAGTTGACTCTATTGGGACCAAGATCCAATCATGTCTCTTTGGTTTCATACATCTAAGACTTTGGTATCTTTCCATAATTCTCGTTCAATTGCTCGCTTTATTCTCTTGTCTTCCTAAAAGAATGGAAGTGACAAAGAGAGACCACTCGCGTGCCAACCATGAAACCTTCAACTTCAATTTTGATTTACCTTTTATCTCTCGGTCTTCAGGTAAAAACTTCTTCGATCCAATTTTCTTCCAAAGTCTTCTCTTGCATTTCAGTTCGAGAGTTACAAGCAAATGGCTAGATCGTTAAAATATAATTATATTCTTGACAACTGTGTAATTGTTTTAAGGTTATTGTGTAATCTATTTTCTCAAAGTGCTTAAATGATTATAGAAAAAACACGAGCTACTATAACATATACGAATGCTAGGGTTGTAGTATTCTATATAACAGAGCAATCACTTGAGGTAGTGATTCTTATCGCTTGTAAATCGTTTTAACTAAATTCTTCTCAAATCAGATGCAGCAAGATATATTTTCCGTCGTATTCTAATGGGGCTAGCCACTTGTGAACCTGTTGGTTTCATCTCTGTAGCCCTTGATGGATTTTCCATCCTTTTTGTTCTTTACTTGGCCCGTTTCTAGGGTTGCTTAACAACTAACCATCTACAGATATGCACTGATCCCTTTTGATGTTGTCTTCTAGTGACCTACAGTGTTTCGGGTTAGTTGTTAACAGAGTTGCAAATTGCACTTATAGAAACAAAAATGTACATCATGGCATCATCAATATATTTTGGACAGATTCCTCAAACTGAAATTCTTCAAAGGAGTATTTCATGTGATAAAAATTCTCTGTACTCCTCGATGGCTCTTATTCCCATCTTCATTTTCTATACATCTTCATTTTCTTCACAGACTTGACTGAACAAACAAGTTCAGTCAAGTCTGTGAAGAATTGAGTTTTATAATTGTTTCCGAAGGCAAGATTGAACTTATTTGCTACAATTCAACTCAACTCTTTTTCTACTTTCATGCAAAGTTGCATGTACCTGTCCATGCTGTAACCTTCGTACCATTCTACTGTATGCAATGAACTTTTCGCTAACATCTGCTCCAAGCTTTCCAGCAGTGCATCCCCACTCGACCAGGAAATGAAAAACAAATGCCTTCGTTTAAGCAACCCAACCACTGAGAACCTGCTGTGATGTAACGACTAAACCTTGCTTCCAAATCATTGTTCTCTGGAAGCGTCCACGACCCTTCCTTCCTGGGAGCTCGCCTTAGCTTAAGAATGTTCAATTTCGTCCTGTCTGCTCTGTTTCAGTATACACTGTAGGTTACTTTAATGCACGAGAGAGATGTCAACATCAGCGGAAGAGGATGAACCTCACATGTCTATAGTGAACGAATGACATGAAGATCGGAAGAAAGACCCTCATATCCGCGAAAGACCACTGTCTTAGTGTACTCATGCAAACTAAACTGTGTTCGTTCGTCTTGTTGGATGGATTCTTGAAGGTCACGAATCTCTGTTCCGGAGGCATTTGTTCCCGGCACACAGACCGCAGCCTGTTGTGTTGGCTGACAACAATGTATGGGTGAACGTGGACACCGAATTACGTCCCTCAATCGAGGAGGGAGCTAGAGCTATCAAACATAATGATTGGTTGGATCTCAAGTGTAAGTGTATGCAGCGGGTCAAGCAGCGCAAGGAGCCAACTTAGGAACAGTGCGAAGGAGAGCGGTGTGGAAATAGCGTGATTGGCTTGATTGAAGTGGATGGGTGGATGCTTGCTTGCTTGCTAGAGTTTGAGGTCCACAACGAAAACTGAAATTTTCTGAACCGGCGACTGACGACGACTGGTTCGTTCTGCATTCACTGGCACAGACAGAGAGAGCTGTCTTTCCCAAGCGATCAGGATCTTCCACCAAAAATGTGGAATCGTCTAGACGACGACTTCACACTCTGAGACAGCTTTGCGACCCCTCGCTAGAGCCACCCTTCCGGGAAACGTGCTCGCGGATGAATCTATCCACTTTTTTTGAAGGAAAGGAAGAAAGAAAGAAAGAAAGAAAGAAAGAAATAGAATTCTCGAGAGAAAGTGATGCCGCCGAGCACTTCGAGGCCGCATCGAGTGATGGGAAACGTCGAGTTTCAGACCTCGGATCGAACCCTAGCTTGAACGTGAAGCCAAGACTGTAGCAAAGGTCGAATCCGGTGCACATGGCGCGGGGGGTTCTGCTGGAATTCGAAATTTCAGATTATTGAAATCTCGCACGCCACGCGCCTTCTGCGATGGCCAACGTGAGGAGAAGAACCTCTCCCCGCGCACGGACCTTCAGGGCCCGTGCTCGAAAAGCCTCGTCGATGCTTCTGGTTCAGATCAGATTCAGATTCAGTCAGATTCAGTCAGATTCGCGTGGATGTCAGATCGATTCTTTTGGGGAATCGATGAGAAGGACGATGCGCGATCGCTTCCAGTTTCCGTTCTGATTCTTGCAGTCCGTCCACGGCATGGTTCCCTTGGCTTCCGGAATTCCAACGGACGAGTCCCTGTCTCGTAGACCTTCGTTGCTCACGTAGCCTTTTCAGATTCGATCGGTGCCAGAGTGTCGATGTCTGTGACAAGTTTCTGTAGTTGCCGGTTTCTCATCTTGTTGGATGGCGATTGAGCTCAGAGCACAGCACAGCACAGCAGGGCAGGGTGTTTCTGTGTGTGAGAGAGATTGAGGGAGCGAGAGGGAGTCCCCTTTTCTTGGAGCTGGCTGGGGATAAAGTGGAAGGATTTGTGGGGACTTGTGGAAATTCACGTCTTCCAAATTTCGAGGCTGATTTGTATCTGGGGTCGGTCTGGCACATGCACGTTTTGGCCCCTCGGATTGCCTGCAAAGGCTCTGATTCGACGTGTCGAGTGTCTGAGTCCACGAGGCGTCACCTGAAGGGCCTCAGGAAGCTGAGACCATCGACGGAGGTTGTTTGTCCGGCTGAAAAGTCAGGTGGCGCATTTGTGCGTGGACCCTCGTTCATTGGATCAGATATCAGTAAAGTCCTCCGGAGAAGGATATAGAATGTGGATTTCCAACTGGACACAGGGCCGGGAAAAGGCTGACTCTGAGACATGGACGAGAAGTGGGAGTTTCCTGACACCAACTTGGGGCTCATGAAATTTGCGCCGAAGCCCTGCAAAGCCCCATGGCGGTACGTGTGACGATCGGTTCCCCAATTTCCCGTAGAAAGTCTCTGTCAGCGGTGGGCATGCAGTTTCCCACATATTTATACAAACTCCCACACCTCGTCTCTTCTTTCTTATCACAGCGTCTTAAAATATGCGGCATGCGTTGAAAACGGCCAAGGTCTGCATGTAATGTTTCCGCATTGCAAACCATGCAAACCTTTCGCTCAAAGCAGAATTATAGTTTCTTTGTGACACCATGCAACTTCGTACATCTCCTAGCGCTGCCGTCGTTCTCTTTCTAGGCCTTGCCTGGCTTCGATAGCTGAGAGCGCGACGTCATCTGATGCCACTGGCGTTTTATCTGTTGGTAAAGTGGTACTCGTGAATGCTGGCTTGGTCAGACCTCGGCAAGTCGCAAGCGCTCTTCCGAGTCTCGTGACAGGAAATTGGGATCTTCGTGATGGTTTTCAATTTACCTCCAGAAGTGGACTTTTGACCCTCAAACTAAGGTTCTGCAGATTGGACAGTTAAACATGTGACAGATATAATCTGTTTACGCTCTCCACGAGAATCGGTTGATTCCCAAGTTGAGTTCGGACTCGCTATACATATGGAGAACACTGATAGGAATAATCTATTACAGACACCGCTCTGTGAGTGGTATGTGGCAGAACTTACGTACAACTTCATGTGAAAAGCTTTCGTTTAAAATGGGTAAGGTTGATATAACCCTCACCCAAGCTCAGTGATAAGGGTGAAGGTCACACCATCAATGCATTTTACTACGGGAACGTGCCTTCATGCTACTCCCCGGTAACATGCAGAGAAGTCAATTACAAACATACAGATGAAGCGCAAACGATAATTACGATGGCAGGCCAGTGAAATTGTTGCCCACAGAAAGCTAACCGGGGGCCACTGCCGCTAAAGAAGATTTTGTCAACCTAGCTGCTGACAACATCAATTGCCTTCCGAGGTAAAGGTTGTTACGGCTGTCACGTCGTCTTCGATGTGTCCACCTCCCTCTCAATTGCATGACGACAGTATTACTTTCTTCACACACTTAACTTCCCAACACACTGCAACCAAGTCCCAGGTTTTACATTGGGACCAAACAACAGCAAGCACAAAGCTTGTGTTTGCAAGCTTCGATTGTACGGTCGAAAAGTCGAAAAGTCACCACATGCCTTCAGCTGCAAGCTCTGATCAGTGTAATATCTGACTATGTATGCTTGTGGAACTAAATGTCGCCACAGACAGCATTAGTCTGAGAGAGGCAATACATTCCGGATCCTAAGGCAACCTTAGTGCAGAAGCACTAGCGCTAATTAAGGCGTTGTAACACGAAAAGTATTAATGCTAAGGATTGTTGAAATTGTCCTCGTGCAAGTAGGTCATTGATCCAAATGTATATTTCTGAGATGATATTGAAACCTGATGAGGCACGTTATCTGGGAGATCATCCATCATCAGGCTCGTGCTTCATTAGTTCAATCGTCTTGAATAAAAAATACAGCTCCCACAAAGTTGACGAAGAAAGCTGAACGACTGTGTTCCTGATAATGTACTTACACTTACATATGACATGACGTTATCTTCTGACTTGTGCCGAGGGGCTTGGGATACTGGTTTCCACCTGCTCTGCTTTTAAAAGAAAGCAGAATGTTTCATGTGGTGCATTGTCCCCTACTCGAAAGAGCCACCGAAACACCACACAGAAACAGAATTGGCGATCTTTCGCCGGCCATAGTAGATCAGAATGCAATAATTTACAACTAATTTGTATTTACTTGAATCTTGTGGGCCAGGTTTAAAATACACAATGAATTTTTGGTGATCACAGTGAACGGTTCCATAGGAACACGTTCACCGATGCACCAACGCCACAACAATTCTGGCCTTCTCATACACCTAGATTGACAGTCTCCCTACCTCAACCGTTACGGACTCGTCACATCACAGCCAGTGAGGGCAAATATAAGACTATACACAACATTCTGCGTCGACGCCACAACTTTCACGGCTTCTGCCTTTATAGGTTAAACTAAATCGAATGTCTCCCTACCTAATCCTGCGCCACCAACTCGGCACCGCGAGTTCGAAGCAGTCTACTCCTGCTAAGTCAGGAAGTTGAGCGAAGTGAACGATCAGAAATGCTTCTTCCCGCGTGGTGTGAATTCATCCACCACAAAGGTGATCCAAACCAATTTTTCTAGGCGAACACAGAGGCTCTATACAACTAACTCTGCCTCCAATCAATCAGCAGCTCTCCCAACCAAGTATCTATCTATCTATTTATGTACGCTAAAAATCCTCAGCACCATCCTCCCCAGTATCTTCGCTTCGGCCCGAAGGGAGAAATGTAATTATGTACACCTACTTCTCGGGAAGTCCTTTATTCGAATGACCTACAAGAAATCGGATATGCACAGCTAGCTCTACAAAGTGGCCATCGAACGATCGTCGACGGCAATCGATCCCGCAGCGGATGAGAGGGGGGAGGGAGACGGCATACAGACCTGGGGCGCGGATCAGACGAAGTGAGCGCCGACCTGGTCGCAGGGATTGCTGATGAGAGCGCACTCGCGCTCGAGCGTGAAGCTGCCGGGCTCGCGGCCGGAGCCGAGGTTGAGGAAGTACTCGTGGAAGTAGCCGGCGGAGGTAACGACGAAGACGCGGGGCCGATTGGAGCGCGGCAGGCAGGGGCGACCGTCGTCGCCGGTCTCGAGAGGGGGGCCGGCGACGGCGCAGTAACTGACGACGCCCGGCGGGCAGCCGTGGTGGATGGTGATGCAGCAGCGCTCGGGCTCGTACATGTCGGCCATGGAGGGCGGCATGACGGCGGACAGGAGACTGGAGGCCAGCTGGCTGCGGGGAGGGCGCTCGAGCGGGCCGAGCTTGAAGACGTGGACGGTGCCGGAGGCCCCGGTGGCGGCCAGCAGCTGCGGGAAGACTTGAGGCGGGCCGAAGGAGAGAGAGTAGATGGCGCAGGGTACGCTGCCACGGCGGAAGGTGTAGGCCTTGGCCGCGCGCGGGATCACGTGCACGCGGATGATGGTGCCCTGGCTGGAGGCGGTGGCCAGCAGGTTGCCGTCGGCCGAGATGGCCATGGCGGCCAGCGGCGACTGGTGCGCGTGGATCTGGCAGAGCGCGTGCAGGTTCAGCGCGTCGTGGATGAGCACGGCGCCAACGTCCGTGCGCGCCGGCAGCGCCAGGTAGCAGTTGTCCTCGTTGGGCGAGAGGGCGCACAGGCCCTTGGGGTTGGGCACGGTGTCGAGGCACTCGAGGCAGTTGAGGCTGCTCATCTCGTGGATGTACGCCTTCTTCTCGAGCACCACCACCAGGCGCTTGAGATTCATGCCCACGGCAAGAATCGCCGAGAAGAAATTCATCTCCACCCTCGAGCCGCGCGTCGTGTTGATCACATTGAGCCTGCGCGGTGACAGCTCCGGCTGCTCGCCTGCGCCCACCACCGCGATCAGGCTCGTTCGGTTGAGCATGTTGAGCAGGCTGTAGGCGCCCTCCGTGTGCTCGTACACGCAGCTCACCGTGTCGCAATCGAAGATCTTGGCGCCCTCCCGCGTGCAGATCCCCACCAGGCTGTGGTCCTGGTTGAATCCCGCTTTTATCACTCGCGCCCCGCCTGTCTGCTCCGCCATTTTCCACCGCGAGTGCTGCTGTTTGGCGAATCCCAGATCTATGTCTTCGAATTCTTCTTGCCCGTCGTCCGCTCCCGATGCCGACTCTGCAGTGTGTACCTCTCGCTTCCCCGTCACGACTAGTGCACCGGCCTTTCTCGCGCTACATTCCGTCTCTACTGTTCCCACGCCTGATTCCGATTTAGGGTTAGCGACAATTTGGACGACATTCTTGCATTGGCATTGGCACTGGCACTGGCCCATCAGTCGAACAATTTCGTTGGATAAGTGAACTCCAACCAACAATCAGACATCGAAATTTCTACCGTGGCGTCCAGCAAAACTCTCTTGACAAACACATGAGCAATCGGCGGAATTCAAACACTAGAATTTGTGGCGTACATCGACAGAATGATAAAAGGATGCGGTGTGAGTGAAGGACTGAATACGGCGGAGCAGAGCATTCTATGAATGAGGAGCTTTAGAATTTACCTCTGAACATCAACGCAACTCGACAGAGGCAGGCGTCTGCTGAGAGACGATGCTTTATCCTCGCGCTGATTGAGTGCAGGTTCAGCAACCTCTCGTACCGCCTTCAACTGCGGACACCAAGTAGCAAGACAACCACAACAACAGGGAAGATCAGCTCCCAAACAGAAATCAGCTGATCCGAGGGACGGAATCTTTCGGTCGCACGGGCTTTCGTCTCCGAAACTTTCGACCTCTAAGTCTTCGCAGTTCCACTCAAAACCCCACGACAGACACTGAAGGTAAAATACAAAGATAGTTTCGCATCAGAGTTACAAGACCTTCCACTACATGACAGATCCGCTCGATGCTCCAAGATACATCACGCCCAAGAAAATTGGGCCATGCCAATGCCGCGAAATTTCACCATAAGCAGGGAATAACGTGATCTCATACTGACGTAGCCAGGCATCAGAGGCATGGGGGCGACGGAGGTACAGATCGAAAGCGTCATCTCCAGGCATGATGCAATCGAGCAGGAACAATACTTTTTGAGTGATTCCCACCAAACCCTCCCAATCTTCAGTAAGAAAGAGTGGTATACAGCACAATATGCGGAATTGTCCACCGGAATCAGGCAGTTGATACATAACTCTCAACTAGAGTTCAAGTCTAACTGATAAAAATGTCGACAAGGCTCCTCGTACAAAATACAATATGCGGAATTGTCCACCGGAGTCAGGCAGTTGATACATAACTCTCAACTAGAGTTCAAGTCTAACTGATAAAAATGTCGACAAGGTTCCTCGTACGAAATACGGGAGTGATCTACGACATTCAACTCATTCAACTCAGAATCCGTAGATGAGTCGGCGATAAGAAGCGTTTCATCTCATTGCCAAATTCAAAACCATCGGTACTGCACCGAATCATATCGACAACTGAAGTTGCGAAGACCATTACTAACAAGACACTGGATTTTTCTAATGTTGATACTTCTCGAAGAAAATCCTTCATACCTTGGAACCTCCGTGCCACAGCCGCCATAGTCCAAACTTCCTGAAAGCACCGCCCAAGCGCACTTCCAACTTTTGATCACGGTTCGTCCGATTCAGCTTCCCTAATCCTCAAGTGGATAATCTCCGGCCATGAGCACGTCCTCCTTCGAAGGCATCGTAGCTACGGTGAGTCTGAATAGTCTGCCAACGACAGCGTCTTCACGGCGCAATCTCACAGTCCTAACCCACACACGCTGTGATTTCCTCCCTGTCTGCCACTGCGCTCGCAACCAAATGCCCACAGATACTGGGAAGACCACCGACAGCCTAGCGGATCCGAGATCATCCTGCAGAGTGGCAGTACACAGTCTACCCACTCAAATAACACACACAAAATGCGGCTATATTATGTTAGAGTACGAGTGACATAATGGCAAGAACCGCGAGATCACAAAATGCCGCTATTTTGTGTTAGAGTACGAGTGACATAATGGCAAGAACCGCGAGATCCCGTGTCTACCGTGCGAAACCGCGGTGCAAATGCATTCTTTAAACACGTTCCTCCGCGATAAATGTTGCTTTTGCTTTATCTCGTCGCTGCCATTGCGGTTGCTAAAAAAGGGGGCATTGATACACATTTGATTCGACGTTGGAACATCTTCACCTCCATCCTTGAATTAATTTCGGTATGACTGGTTGGACCTTATGCACGATGTCGGTTCATAAAAAGCACTCCGAATTCATCCAAGAGTTCATCCATTCATTGCGATCATTGTCATTGATTATACCCAAAAGGATTCCCCCTCGTCGTAGGAGACAATGCGGTTCTTGGAGATGCATATTTCCTCCTTTCCTTCGCAGGCAGACTGACTCCCACGCTGACAGACTCCCGGCAGGCGAAGGATCTATTGCCAGTGAGCTGCCAATGGTTTTCGTCGGAGACGACGATGCAAAGAGCGTGCGTGTGGTGAGAAAAGTTCTTCTTTTCCATTGTGACACAGAGGAAGCGACTCAACCTGAAAATTCTTCTTCGGTAGTGACACTTCCAATCTACACCAGTTTCACTTCGGCTTGTACAGTTTAATATGTTACAATCACTTCCAAAATTGATAAAACATCTTGTACCCTGGACTGGACCTAAACCCTAGACTTCAACTCCCATTTGACACCTTACGTTTATTCATGACCCAGGCATCGATTCGAGTGTAAATATTCTGAACAGTTCTGAAGCAAACATGTGGAACGATGTGTCTGGGACAGCTAGCTAAAATGACCAAGACACTTTCTCAAAGCATTTTAATAAGTGTCCCGATGTCTCTTTCATCTTTGGTCCAGCTCTCGATAGGATTAAAATCCATTTCGAGCAGTAAGGTACATATGCGAAAAGTTTTAGGTTTACTCGCCAGGTCCGGTGAGATAACGCCTTTCATGTTTTGTCACAAGGCACATCAAAAGTATGGAAGGTTTCAGCATCTGCAGCAGTTGGTAGTCAAGTGGGCTTCGTAAGCCTTTCATACATCTACTGTAATCACTAACAACAGTCACTAACGTACTGACAAAACATTAACACACAAACATGGGATGATCAAGCGACTTGTGACTGCCACAACCACAACTTCCACTTATGAGGTAAGGCATCATTGATATGTACACTGTACCTCGCAGCACTATACTGAGACTTCATTCTCATAACAACTTGAATATTCATCGCTGACATTTCGAATACGTCATATTTCATCATGATCGTACGGATCTACATCAAAACACAAATTTAAGCAGATCGCATGGCATTTGCACTGGCCGCATAAGTTAAGACGATTCTGCGGTACTTAAGATTCAACAAGAGTTTATACCAGTTCCAAGTAGTAACATCAACTTCTGCCATCTGATTTTATCCAATGATCAAAATTCATTCAACTCGAACTCGAATTTTCGCATGGTCCCTTTCACCCTACTAGTTTGACGCACTGTACTCATTAGTATTTTATTGTTTTAGTCTTAAGACCACTTGAGAAAAGAGATGTACATGAACCCAAATTGGCATCTTATAAACTTTTGATAGTAGAATACGGTCTCACAAAGACCGCAACAGTTGAATAGTCAGGGGGAACCAAGCAAGACACAAAGACAAGGGACAGCGACAAGGATGTCAGCAAAAGGAGGTGCTTACAGAAAGAAGTACATCCTTCGAGACAAGTGTCCGAACCATGGACCTTGGAAAGACACAGAGAAACCAGAAAACCTTTACTTAGTACAAGGGCACTAGATTACACTACCAAAGGGACCACCCTAGCAATCATGTAATTACACTGGTAGCCTCATAACGTCTAGGCATGGTCTTCATGACACTTGGAACGCCTTATAAGAAGACCAGTTCATTGCCCACACCTAAACCATCTGCTAGTCCCAAGTATAACCCACTGAAATTGAACTCACAAGTGACGGTGCTTACATTTAAAGGCTGCCAGATTTACTTGGCCTAGACAAAATTCCAGCAGTCTTGAATCTGGAATTGGAACTACTCAGATCCACCAAGTCTCCAAATAGCTTATCTGCAGGGTTTACTTCCTTTGCAGGTTGCTGGGGCTGGACCGGTGCTTGCTGAAAACCTTGTCCACCAAGGGCCTGATTCTGCATATACCGACTTTGCTCCTGGAGAGAGAGATTTTGTGTGCGCCCTACCAAATCATTCTGTCCACCGGGAAAGGGTGAAGCTTGCTGTTGGAAATACTGCTGCCGGAGGCTGTGTTGACCTGGAGGTGGAGGAAGAACTGGTACTACATTCTGAGGCACCACGTTCTGACTGGTATTTCCGTAAAGCATTGCTTTCTGCTGGGGACTCATTTGCGATTGGTTAAATTGTTGCTGATTAGGAGGAGGAGGAGGAATACTGCTGCCACTCCACGGAGCAGAAACACCTGGATAGCCTCCTTGAGCCTGTGCTGGCTGTGAGGAAGACTGGGGAGTTTCACCGTACATCATAGCTCGTTGCTGAGTACTGAAATTATTGTTATTTAGGGCCCACGGAGCAACATAGTTACTTTGAGCACCTTGTGCTTGGACCTGCCCTTGCGGGTACTGCTGCTGAGGGTAAGTTGGGTAGCCGTATTGTTGCAATGGTCCAGTTGGAGGTGTACTCATTCCATTTGAATAGGAGTACTGTTGTTGCTGCGGCTGAGCCTGAGGATGCGGTTGTGTTTGAGGCTGTGCCTGCGGGGATTGCACATAAGAAGGTTGGGGCGGGGCGGGTAGTGCAGGAAGAGCTTGGAACGCTGGGCTAGAATCAAAAGGGTTTGAAGAGAGTGGGGATTGCGGTTGCGGGGAAGAAGACAGAACAGACTGATTGACTGGAGCCGCTGGAGAAGAAGGAGAGCCATCTTGATAACTATCCCCACTCAGTAGATCGACCGTCATCTCACGCTGACTAGGTTGGGATCCAAATACTTTCTTAAATTGAGGAGGAGGAGGTAGGGCAAGTTGGGCTGGCTTGCTGGTTTGAGCAGAAGAACTTGGCGCAGACGGCCGAGGCCGTGCTGATGACCTACGACAGATATCAATTGCAAGCAATAAATATCGCTGTGTACATGGCCCCAAATTAAAATCCTATCATCACTACTCAATCATTGAGCCGTAATCACGCTCGTAAAGTTCATCTAAACTTGTAAAAGAGATAGCAACCACTATGGAGATGAATGAGAACCGAAAATATTTCGTAAAAGAAAGTACCTGTGGGCTAGCTGAGAGAAGTCATCCTCCCCTTCTTCCTCTTCATGATCGTATCGACGCCCCGCCTGTGTAGGGTCTTTTGGCAAAGGAGAGCCTGACGCAATGGCATCATGTTTTGCAAGAATACGCTGCAAATCATCATTGAGGGACAGCCCTTGACGAAGAAGTTCTTCATCCCTGTACATTAAAACAGATATCAAACTTCAGATCTTCCGACACATTTACTTCTTGTCCACTTCCCGAGGCAGAGATGGATCTGACACTAATGTGACAGTAATTCACAATTATCACTGACTTACGATGTAGTATTCACAAGCTGCATAACTCGGCGCTGATTGGTTCGGCATTGATCGACCAAGTCCACAATAACTTCGTCCACGACGGCCTAGATGTCCATCATCAATATCACCAGAACCATCAAAGTTATGAGGTGTAGAACAACGCAAAAAGTTAGAAACCACGTGTTGCTAATCATACTCTCGCCCATGGATAAAACAGCAGCGATAAGCTTTTCAGAACAAGTAGATAAGAATGTTCCTATATTTTCGTTCCACCAATCTCCACAAAACTACTGTACTTGCTCAGCCCGTCTCATGGCCTAAATATCATATATTTTCTCCTCAAAAAAAAAGAATCTCGTGAGGGGTTATACACAGGCATTCACAACACATCGTGGATTGAGAACGCACCTCCTTCTCCCGTGGATTGATAGCATTTAACATCTCAGTCAGAACCTCAATTCCACTCCTAGCAGCCTCGATATCTGTCAAGCTGTTCGTACAACCAATCGCGAGCGCCATAATTAGAAAGAGATTTTTGATGAAAAGGTGCCCACTCAAACGGATAGGATTGAAGCTCCCACAATTCAATTTGGTATCTCATAGTTCCTAAGTTTGGGGATGTACATGATCACTGGAAACCTCGCACGCGTCTAGGTCAGATATTTTTACAGGTAACTGCAAATAGTCGATACTTCTCAACCCAAGTAACCTTCAATACTACTTTGTTCAGTGATGAATTGTAACTCGGAGCACGATAGCTAGTTAAAAACTAACCTCATCCCTGGAGGCTCAGCCGCCATGGCAGCTTCAACCCTGGGAGAAGTGTAACCACCAGCGGGTGAGCCATAACCTTGAACTGGATGTCCCATGGCAATTGGCTGTGTTTGTGGGGGAGTGAATATAGGCACGGCGTGCTCAGGAGCCCGATCTGGAAACTCAACTCCTGCGCGCTGCAACAGTGAGAAAACTAATCATTAGGCCGCCTCAGGTTATGATGACGTACAACTATTGAACGTGCCGCCCTCACAGCAGTAGCTTGTAGAAATTTGAAATACAGGTCAGGAACGTGTGTGACTTACGCGCAACTCTTCGTAAGCCATGTAATACTGGGGATACTTCCCCCTTGAGCCCCCAAACGCTTCTTGCCAGGAGTCCAACAATACCAAAATTTTGTCCCTCACTTGCATGTCTGACTGTACATGACATAAAGAAGTGCCAGATATCAATTATTAATCCTTTAATGCATAAGAAGTTACCCGTGAAACGTGAACCCCAATACCAGGAGTATTATAGACAATCTCTGAAGCAAAACAAATACGAAGAAAATATTACTCGTCTCCATCAACCCCAGAGGGGACCAATAGTCTCCTACAATTGAGATCGAGCACAACTCTCCACATGAAAGCTATCGTGAAACAATACCATACGGCTACATGAATCTCATGGCCGTCAGCGCAACACTTTTGAAAAACCCGAGTCCTGCCGGTCAAATTAAATAACGGAAAAAGCTGAAAATAAAAAGTTGACAAGCATTGTTTTCAGCTGAGATTGTCACTCCTATCCCTGTTTGACAAGGGCCTGCATTTACCTTTTTCTTCACGATTTTTGTCATCTCATGAAGAACATCCTTCTCTGCAACTTGCTGATGCACGATCTCTCCACAATTCTTTATAAGTGTTTCCAAGACCTTGTATAATGATCAGACAAAGCAGTCATACTCACTCAGAAACTGTAGTGGAGAAAATAGAGTTAGTGGACAAATCTAAAACGCATAAAAGAAACCAGTTCCGACATAAGCAACTGGAGTATTTGCGTCAAAAGAATTCGCCGAGTCATATATTCTGCTAGCTGCTAAGAAGCAGACTTGGGTGATACTACTGCTTGTCTTACAAAACTAACATATTCCGACCGTCCTTTCATGCCTCCTTCAGGTCCAGAAGGAATTCGATATCGATTTAACAACAATCACCTCAAACCCCTCCACAGATCTCCACAAACTGCCTCCCAGAGCGACATATTGCAACGATCTCGTAGAGCATAAACACAACGAGACAGCCCTCTTTCCAAAAAAATTCCCCGAATTACAGGCCACTCCGTGCTGAAAACTAAATACCAATTGACTTCACAGCAAAATTACCGTAAGAGCGAGGAGTTGCACTCTTGGGTTCTTGTTGTTCAGCCGCTTTTTCACTGCCTTCACAACGTCCTTAGCTTGCCTACTCAAAGACAACGGTACTTCATTTTAGTCCAAACGAAAACCTTAAGTCCTCACTGAACCAGCACAAACTGTTTGGTTCATATTTCCGATCGACCCTTGAGTAAATTACAACCTAACATTTCTCTTAGCTTCTAAAAAGAGGTGATAATAATACAATCAAAACAGGTCTACGAATAACTAGATTAGAATTCTAAAGAGCAAAAAACCACGAGTCCTCCCCAACAATTCTACGTTCCACTCAGAAACAATCGTCAGCTGACATCGATATGAAAATTGTGTTCAAGACCAATGTGCCATTCTTGATCGACACATAGTTACAGTGTCCATATAGTGAATCAAGGTCCAACCCGACAAAAAAACCTGTAGACACACTGCTCATCACACTACAACAACATCAACTACGAACGAATCTAAGAAGACAGACCACGACTTAAAAAGTCCTAGTTTGAGTGGTCCATCTTGTAAGGTCCAATGCGTTGTGACATTAACAAGAATCTTGAATTACAACCTTCTCCTGCTAGTTAGGGCAAAGGCAAATCCCAAGATCAGCTCAATCTCTGAATGAGAAGAAAGGCAGATACAGACGGTCCACTTCTCACATCACTAAGTGAAGGTACAGGGACTAATAGCTGAGGAAATGAAATGCAATACTAATGCGTCTCTTTTGGTGAGATGCAAGGAAAGGATTCCATCCTTATCACTCGAAAGACGAAGAAGATTCAAACTTCTGAATGGCGCACCCTGATGGTATGTAGGCCAAACTTTAAATACGTGCAATTGGAGCCAAATTGAACCCATAGAAAAACATTCACAAAACTGCAGAAGTTTTGAGAGGAACATATCGAATAAAGGAGTATGGAGGTAGACACTGATCGTAGTAAGTTGTTATTAAGACAGACTGTGAGATACTGACATCATCGGGGTCAAGTGCAGGAAGATTGAAATTGGAGAGCCATAGCAACAATCACAAGCAGACAGGTGGCATGGAAGTACTAAGAGACCTTGTGGATACACAAATAACCAGAACCATGAAACGTACCCAGGATCACCATTGATCACGTCACAGATGTCAAGGTTCATAGCCCAATCCGGACCAATCAACAAATCACTGGTCGCCTTATCCACAAGACCCCCCGCCGATGTCATGATGTCCCCCCTGCCTTCTCGATTGCTTCCTCACACTTGGCTTAGATATGAGGTTCTACGATAATCAGCATTCAGGTGTCGCTGCAACAACCGTCCAAGCACTCCCGCTCGATACAAACTGGCGCAGCTACTTGTGAGGCACCTGTCGCTTAAATACTTCCTCCCAAGCTGTAGCTAGTAATATAGGACGCAGTAGCTCTTCTCCTTCCGCTGGGACTGATATACTCCGTCTAAGCATCTAAATGCAGAAATCGGGAAGGAGTGTAAACAAAACTCCACAGCTTCGACAACGACTTCCTGGAAGAAAACCGGCGTCACCGTTCCTCGAAATCCCTGCCTAAAATCCTCTCCACGAACAAGAAATGACTCCCGCTTCAAGACCTGCTTTAGGTCCACGGTAGAAGAACACCTTCAACAGCTCGCATCGAAAGCTTATCCACGCGTCTTGCGCCAATTGCGTGCCCTTTCACCTAAGTAAGTGCGGATGCTAGCTCCAAACCGAATTCCGAATAGATGGCGGGGAAGAAATTCGCCGCAGAGTTAACCAACTCCACCCTCTATCGACCCTCGATCAAAATTGTGCAGGAGCGCAAACAACTGCAAGTCGGCTTAATTACAAAGGATCGGCCGCGGGCGACTCCGACTCGGGTCGGGTCGGGTCGGTCGGGTCAGTTCAGTTGTGATGCCTTCAACGCTGGCGAGAATGGAGCCAGAGGAGGACAGGATGTACAGCAGCACTCAAGCACGCATCCGGTCGGACGGCGATGATTGATAAACAAGTGTTGGCAACGGAATCAGCCAACAACAATCGAGCCAGCGACGAAGGATTATTCACACGGGAGGATACAGATGTACAAATACAGTCAAAACCACAGAGATACGTAAAAACTCCTCTCAAAGAAAGAGGTCAGACAATAAGCGCGATTCGGTTTTCTCGACAAGCTGGTGTGAAGAGACTCGGCAAATCGAAACAACAAGCAATGAAAGAATTGACAGTCGCTGCCGACGACGAGAAGAAGCAAGCAAGCAAGCCAGGCAGAGTGAGGACCGGAGATGGAGGCAGGACGGAGTGACACGGAGGGAGAGGGAGAGGGAGTGGGAGAGAGAAGGAGGAGAGAGAGAGAGAGGGAGGGAGGGAGGATGAGAGAGGGAGGAGGGACGAAGGAAGAGAAGAAGAGTCGAGCGAGTCGAGAAGGGCAGCTAACGCACAGGGCGAGCGAAACAACGAAGCATTCTCCTACTGAAGAAAGCTCGCAAGGCGAGCAGGGAGCGGAGAGCGGAACAAGGGGACGGGAGGGCAGGCCAGTCCACGGCAGGGGCAGCCCAGGGCAGGCCCCGGCCAGGGCCAGGGCCAGGCAACGCAACGCAACGAAGCCACATGCCATCATATGTGATGTATCCACATCACATCATGACATCTGGCTGCCACCCATCATGCCTGCCGTTCCTTCCTTCCCTACTTCCTCGTTGCCTTCCTTCGTTCGTTACAGGAACCAACGTAGTGACTGCCCCGGGCAGTCTCTCAACGCGTGGCGCCGCCCCGCCCCCCTGCCACTGGGCTCTCCTGCACCGTGCGCAGTTCTCCTCCTCCTCCTCCTTGTCTGGGTATGTCCCGCGAATCTTCTTGTTCCATCGTCGGATTCTCATCTACACGGTTCGTAGGGACTACAAAGCTTGAAGCAAGCGTCCTGCCTGCATCTGGCTACTTCGGAACTAAGCCAGACTCGCCTGCCTTACGTAGTTGCCCTCTATCCGAAGCCTCAAAGACTGCGTTGTCCCGAAGGTTCATCCGCGCCGTTCGAGTCTCAGTGGACGCCTCCGATCGAAGACATCTTCGAAGACCGAGCGAGCTCGTGCTTTCCACGGGGCGTCGCAGGTTTTCTGTAGGACTGAATGCGGCCATCCTTCCGCGCCTCTCTGACAATCTAGAAACCGAGAATCTCATGATGTAGAAGCGGATATCGGCCGTTGGATCCGGGCGTAGGCGGTTACTTGTGTATAGATTGTCGGTCTTTCTCTACGTCAACCGTGCCATCGATCTGAATGAGGCGGAAGGAAGTCTACACTCTACTGTACAGTAGATGCTGTCTCTATTCTCGAGATTATTCACCGTTGATTTTTGAACAAGGCCTACGAAGTGTACAATGATTAAAGAGACGCAGTTTGGCTTTATCCTCGTGACTGTGGTGGCAGTCGTGCACCCGGTCTATTGTCAGTACAACTGTTTGTTTACCATTATAAACACATCGCTAAAGATATAGAGCAGATCCTAAGATATTTCATTTGATTCCACATTGGATTAGCCTTAATCTGGTACCAAATGAACGTCATGCCATATGTGGATCTTCCTTCTGACGCATTTTCTTCAAACTACCTATTACCTCTCAAAGACACAATAGCCTCCTTACAAACGACCCACTTTCTACAAACACTTCCTCACAATTCAAAGTTTATACTTTATTATGAAATAGTTAAATACAAAATATACATGGAACATGAGCCCTGTCTTAAAAATTTCTGATTTGATACTTCATCTATTAATTAAACAATAAGACTGATTTATTCAGTGATAATTATTGAATTTATAATCATATATTTTGAGATTTTATTTTATGTTATTTATTTTCAAATTATAATATATATAAAATCCTGCCATTATTTTAACGGAAAATTTCACAATAATATCCGAATTTCAAATTTAAATCACTAATAATTTTTAATAATTTTTAGTATACGCACTTTTGATAATGGAATTGAATCTAACAAATCTTATAAAAATAAATCTAAAAAATTGATCAAAATGTGCATATTTATATTTATTTATATTTATTTATTTATATTTATATTTAATTATCTTTGCTTATTTATACTATTATATCTAAGGTATTTTTCTTTTATTTATCTTTCTTACAGTTTTTTATGTTTATATTATTTAATAAATTTCATTAGATATTAAAAAAATAATCCAAACTGCTTTTCATATCACTTAAAACAAATTTTATATGAAAAAGCAAAACTATAAATGCTCTTGTGGATTTTATATACGATGTATGGGAATGTTATATATGATATAAGATCTTCAAATGATGAAATATACTTTGATTATTATGTTTTGCCTGTAATTTTACATGCAAAATAACATAGATAATATATTTATTTGTGTTATGAGCAAAGTAAATTAAATTTGAACGCTATGCTTCATTGTTTCAAAAATTAGTAATTTTAAGAAGCACATAACTCTTTATTTGTATGCATATTATTATATAATATGATCAGATTTAATTTATTATGATATGATTTGATCACTTGTTGTTTAGGTCTAATGAACGTTTCAATAGCAAATAAAAGAGACAAAAGATGTAATATATTTCATTGAAAATCAAATTGCCATGAATCTGGTCGATACACTTGTTTTGCTAGCTATACATGTTATATACTATGACTGACATAACATATCAAACCTAAATGATTACATATGCTTGTTTATCAAACTATCATAATTATTTATGAACATATTAAAATGAGAATATTTTCTACTATAAACATAAATTATCACACCAATGTAAAGAATAATAGTTTGATTTCTTATAAAATAACGTATCTATTTATCTGATGATTTAATATTAATATTGAATACAATCCGTCGCAGCAAAATGATTAGGAAAATTTTGTTATAATGAGCAGTTGACTTAAATCCAATTAAAAGGCTCTTAGTCTTTGGCTCATTGAGTATACAATTTGTTTACATTTCATCTTGCGTGATACAATTTTACTACATGATCATCGTTGACATCAGTGCTTCTGCAAGGATTGAGAAACTAATCCCTAAATCGATTCTACATTCTAAATATGGGTGGACTTTTTCTGATGTGATGTATTCTTTTATCTTGTCATCTATAAAATATCAATATACTACTAGATTTTTTATATTCCTTATATGATTCACATATTTTAGTTGATCATGAGATTGCACATTGTCATCCTATGACTCTTACTTCGCGCAAACAGCTCCTGATTTCCAGCCATATCTGTTTTCTTGCTTTCGAAGCAAGAAAAACGAATAGTACATCCTGCAAGTTGACTCCATCTGCCGATCAATAGATAGAGGAAGGCGAGGTTCATACAACTTTCTAATGACATCAACATCATCACCTTTTTTCTCATAAAGGTAATCGTGCAACTTCTCAGATTTACGTGACGACCTACGGTACTCGATTTACCGTTCCACATCTGACCATTTATAGTCAAGCGAAATTCAAGTCTAGAAGTAATTTTGTTCTTAATTGTTCTCCAATCACATCCAGTGAATGATTACGAAAATTGATTGGATCAACTTCCACCCTTAAGAAGCAACTCATATTGTTCAACTGATAATAAACTCTATGTATATAATTTGGCTTCTGCAATTCTGTCATTGTTTTGAGAAAGTGCATGTCATGCTAAATAAAAAAATAAATATGACAGGTTTGAATTTCAGTTAACAAAAAAACACTCCACTTGAATGAATTCGATAATTGTTCTTGAAACAAAGAGTGGGTTTTTCAATTATCCAAGAATATTGGATTTAATTTTATTTCATAACAAGTCTGAGGATAACGATATTGACTTTGCTGGCACATGTACAAGGGAAGCAAGAATAGATGTACGGTCAATACATGCACTCTAAGTGGGCAGTAATTCAGTCGATTAGAGCTGTTAAGATTGCAAGCTATCATGCTGGTGTAGATTTTTCATCCCATAGCTTGCTCGCGAGAGAAAAAAGCAATACAGAGAAAAACTCTGTAACTAAACGTTATGCTTGGTATATAATCATAACATATAAGTTGACAAGATTTGGGTGGTTTGAAAGTATAGAGTAGTAAAGGAGGCAACAAATATTCAAGCTTCCTCACTAGGAATGTAAATGTCCACGGTTGGCATTGGCTCATTGCTGCTGGATCCAAAGAATGCAGTCAAAACATAGATAACACTGGGCTCTTCAGAGCTGTAATCCATACCTTGAAACGTGATCGATTGATCGAGCCCAATCAAAGTACGAAACGGAAAGGTGGGACGGAACCTCGACATCAAGGGAGGGAGTGACCTCAGGCACTTGGTTTTGTTGCCAACGACTCCTTCGTCCATAGGACTAACAGAAAGAGAAAGCGGACTATGGTGCTGCGGTTCTGTTCTGTTCTGTCAGAGGACAAAAGGAAGGGTGCAGTAGCCGCGTTTGGCGAACCCAGTGGCCTCCATGCCTTGTCCGAAAGTTCTCTCTCGCGGTTCAAAGTCTCCGACGCGGGGATCCACTGGACTTTCAACAAATGTTCACCACCAAAAGGACGACCTCGAGACAAAACTAGCCGATCTGGAGGATCGTGGACCTCGCCCGAGTCCGAGTCCGAATCCGAGGCTCCTGTACGAAGGAAAGTGCACGAAATAGTGAAAGAGCACTTCCTATCGTTTCCTCTCGCCGGCAAGTTTGCTCCTTCGCTGTTTGTTTGCCGTCATATGTTTTATATCCCTAGCTTGCAACGCTGGCGAAGGCGAACTGGCCAAATGCTTTGCGACCATTGCAGTTGACGATTGGTGGCGACAACAACCCACTTACAGGATATGGATCACATGTATGCCATGTAGCAAAAGGGGCTTCCATGATTTTACTACTTCGGTAGTCGAACAAAAGCTCTGAAGAGCCTTTGGACGTCATGGTTCTGGACATGAAATCTTGTTGTGCTGGTGTCGTGAGATCAAACCACCTTAAACAACCCTTTTAAAGCACTTTATCAAATGGCCGTTTGATAAAGAAGCCGACAAGGAGATCATGTGAAGGCCGGTGAGAGTGCTCAAAATTAAGTTTTCTTCTTGAGGAAGTCGAAGGCGTGTAGTTTAAAATTTCCTTACTCGCTAGCGTGTTCGTGCTGGACGCATTCATGGGATGTGAAGAGCAATTGGTTCCCTCACAAGAGGTGTACACATGCATCGTTCACTGCCTTGTTCTCTTTGCAGTACAGACGATAATGTGAACTCTTTGACTCCACGGTGGGAATGGGACAGGAGTGTAGTAGTGAGGTTTAATCGAATGGTTTGTTTCTTAGCAGCACATCTAATGGCATGTAATGATTAAACATTTTAGTAAGATAGTCGAGATTGTTTAATCTACATGTCTTCCTTAGACTATTGGATTCTTACAATATAAATATTGTCTTCAAATTGAGAAAAAACACAAAGCGAGTTTTTTTTGTCTCTTGGATTTTCAATCAATGTCATCAAATAAAGTAGATGATAAAAGCATTCCTGCTTTATTGACCAGTTACAAGTACAAAGACGATATAAGCTTCCTGTTGTGATTCAAGGAGACAAACTGCGGAGAACAGCACTTTCTTATATGAATCGTTGGCAAATGCAAGTAGTCTTTGCCAAAGTGGTGTGTCAGAATTCTCAGTCATTAAAATTCCACGAAGGTTAGTATCATGTTGAACCGGAAGAACTAAACGAACAAGGAAGAAATTCGATACGCGGAGTGGTACTGCATATGTCAATGATTAGCGCCCAAACGGGATGGAGAACGTGGACCTATACGTGAATACATCTTGCATGCTTGTATATTATGAGAAGCTCATATAGTGATGCATGTGACCAAGTCGTCTATCGATTCACATCGATTTACTCGGTACAGTAAAATTGCAACTACAATTATGGTCTCAATGTCTGCAGGTTATTGTGTCCACCTTCTGGGCCTAGAACCTAGTTCCACAGAAGTTGACACGTCAGTCAAAGTCAAAGTAGGAGGTCCAAAGTGGAGCTAACACCCCGTAGAGTTTGGTGTACAGTATGCCGAACTCAATCTTTGATGTCCAACGGGACAAAGTGATGAGGGATTGACCTTACTCCAGTAAAGGCATGACAATCCAAAATATGTGAACATGTAGACGAGCCTAGTTTTCTCTTGATGCAGTTGCAATGCAATCAGCTAGAAACTGCGCGTCGATCCTAAGGCAACATGCATCCGATTTTTGCTAGGATGTTGTCATCGGTTGAGTCTGAATCGAAACATAGTATAATTTGTGTTTGGTCGGATGTTTCTATGGTCGGTTCATGATTATTTTACACTTTATTCAGGTTGGATACTTAATGACTGTATACTCATGTACCGCCATCCATCCAGATATGTATAGGTAAAAAAGTGACTATACGTAAACATTTTTAGAATGATTATTTTTGACTATGCTTATATCTTTTCTGACTTTCTATATCATAAATTTCATCGATTTATTCGAAAATGGGTTGAATTTCAATTGATACATAGCTTTAGGACTACAATAGTTCAATTCCACCGATCATAAAAAAAATTTGTTAGCCTGTGGGAATTTCTGTTGGTAGCAGTAGTTTTCCGATCTGGAACTCTCAAAAGATATCAAATTATCGTCCAGTTATTTTTTGCAAAACACTAAAATCTATTCAAAATATATACTAATAAGCATATTAAACTCCAAAAACGAAATTCTTCATATAAAGATAGAAATTATGAGAGTGTATGTATATGCATATCATTGTATCTTGATTACTGCTAACACCGATTTACTTTTAATTGGTGGATATGAGTGAAATATACACTAACGGAAGGACAAAGAGACCAAAACATTCAACTCCCATTAGTCCAGTTTGAGTTGATCACAAAACTTATACTTTGCAAATTCCTTTCCCAAAATTATCTTACACACAGTGCCACCTCGTTATGTAGACTTTTGGCAAAACTACACTTGTCATGGGAACGATGTCCCATACCATCGCCTTGAACTTCCAGAACCTGTGCTGCAACTAACGTGCATAGATGATGTGTATATAGCCTTTGGGCAAAGCATGCTGTCTTACTATTTTGTGATGCCAGTGTGAGATGGCAAATGCCAAGTTCATCCTCTTAGCCAACAAGCCTATTAATTTTGTTATCTGAAAAACCAAACCTTGTGGGTAACGTACTGCCGAGGTGAATGTCAGGACGGGCTTCAAAATTCTTATATTAGAATATATGAGCACGGCGTTCCAGGGAAGGGCTCCGAATTTTCCCTTCGGGCGGTAGTAGGTCGTGTAGCGTTGGCCATTCCACGTGTATATAGCTTGCCTGAGGTAGTTCAAACTCCTTGTATTCCGTATGTCCAGCAAACCTCTTCCTGGTGATGGAAACCTCAGACAACTTCAACATATTCCACCTTGAAGGTGATATATGTTATAATCCTACCGTGTCGTCACTAATCAGACACAAGGGATGATCCAAAATGTTACAGGAATTAATATTATATACATAAATTTTTTTGGAGAAAGTGCTGTTAAGTGTCTATCGCAAATGTGTCACTTACGATTGGATTTGAAACTAACGCCCAAACCATTACTCTTGTTGCATTTCATATGAACAATTGATGATTGACATATGCTTTAGACGTAACAAGCAAAGACTCATACAGGTCATATGTAAATGACCTGGGCATGTGGGCCCTTTCTGAAAGGTGCTAGTACCTGGACACCTATATCTTGGCTCTCAAGATATCTTTAGAAAAATGAAATGTGGTGGGGTTCAATTCCGGAAATTTTGACCAACTCGTTTCATACAAACTCAGTCTGCAAACAACGAATAGGGTGTCTACACAGTCTAGAGGACAGACATTTTGGAAAGGAGGTCATCCTTATCCTAACCCTTCCATGCTTTTAGCCACTTTTATATCAAAGACGAATATTTGTATTTTATTGCACTCTCGTCAACACACGCTCTCCTTGTCAGAATCTGAGGCAAAAAATTGTCCCTTTCCGGAAAAGAATTTCCATCTTCTTTTCAGCTCAGTTTTGTAGAAATTTGGGCCCAGCTGAAAGTTTGATTGTTGAATGTGGAGTTTTCAAAAGTCTCCCCCCATTTATAGATTTATTCATATTTTGTACTGAGTATGAACATCACTTCCCCAGTTCTCTTCATCGGGGTCCTACGCAGGATATCCTGCAAATATAAGCTCTACAGCAGCCTATGTATGTGGAGACACCTGTTGCGTCAATTTCTTGTATATGATATTGCACATGCTCGACGTAATGTCCCATAAGTTGTTTAAGAAGCTCTTTTTCTCGAAGTTTAATGCTTGGTGTAAAAGCATGCTCTCTACTTCACTTATGCAGGTATCATTTTAATGCCGATACAGTTGGGAATATGCTGTTATTCAAAATGAGAATTTCGACAGAAAGCTCTGTGATTCTGTCTACAGAATAATGCTCCTTTATTACGTTCCAATAGAAATCGAATTAAAGATTAAAGTTTTGTTTCTCTTTGTCACTGATAGGGTATCACGATCCACTTTTGAAGTTTATGAAGATAATCAATGGCAGGTACCTTACATTTATTTTGTGTAGATTGGTATCAACAGTAGTTCTCGGATTAAATATCGGTACGGCACATCATTCAGTATATTCCTATATTTGATTTAAGAAAAATTGTGATTATATTTGAAAAAAAGCATACTTCTCAATGATACAACGACTGGAAGTCCTTGATGGGATTCCAATAGTTTTGTGTCGGTATCTAGTCAACCTACTTATCCAACGAGTTGAAGAAAGAAATGGATGGAAGAAAACAGCTAAAGGTATTCAGCTAGCCAGTGTGAAATTCAGTTTTTTCAACCTCCCAATCTGTGTAATCTTCTCCAGGTTATGGACTGGGATCACAAGGATAAAGATCGGTGGATTTTTGTGACAACTATTGTTGGAAGTACTTCTGAAAACTAACGACAGATTCGAATCCTGGGTTCTCATGTATCCTCGGTATCTATCATGGACTTGCTGGATATACTACTGCATACCGCATCGGTAGGATAAAAATAAGTTCTAACAGATGATTTCTTCGTCGACTGCCCACTGGTTAAATGTGCACAGAACGCTTTGTGTAGAGCGACCTGCCCAGGAGCCTTGAAGCTTCATCGCTGTAGCGCTTCAAGCGTTCAAATTGCGCGCTAGGCCTGAAAGGCAGGGTCGTCTCAGAACCCCCTTCGCTATTTCTCTTGGTGGTCGTGGTCGTGCCGTCGTAGTCCATTCACTACGCAGCAGCGTTGACTACGAGCCACTACAAACGACGCGTGATTGCTGACTTCCAGATAACATCAAGTAAAGGGCAAGGGTGTCCGACTGAACTCCCTCCCTTCGTGTATGTGCGGTTGTAGAGACGTGCTTGTCGGCGTTATCTCAGCCGTGCTGATTCGCCTTCGATTTCCGCTCAAGGGGGTGTAGTTCATTTCCGACCCTCACTGCGAGAAGAACATGAAGTCCGGTGTATCGGATCCTCAGGCAGACATGTGGTGCCAGCGGTGCATTTTCCGAGGGCAAGGACTGCAGATGCAACCGGGGTTCCAGAGATAGGATTGCGTGATTTGACCTCATTATTTGCCTTCAAGCATGACCATAGGCGAGCTGCTCGATGGCAGTTATATGTCACATGCTCGTTCTTCGTCTCTCAGTCGTGATTTCCTCAGAAGTACACGAACAGATGGACGTGGTTTCCTCACATTACAGTACAGTTTCATTTGAGCTCGGGTTTACAACATCACAAGCCTAAGATCTGAGCAAACATCGAGGGCACCCAAAAAACCAAGAGTCGAGACACCGAAATTATACATGGCAGGTCTGTCATTGGAATTCAATACAGCCAGTGTCCTGTCGTGCTGGAGATTTGGAGGAACATCGGAATTGCTCTTGATGACCTCATTTCCAAAAACTTGTGTGCACTTCGACAGCGAAATCTCCATTGATCTTAAATTTGAATTTGATTTAATGAGCATTAATAAATATCAGTTCCAATGCCTTCAAGCTGCAACTCTATTTTCCAGGATGACATGGGATCTCACAACTGTTCTGAAGGCCACCTACACTACACTCTGGCTAAGAACTGGCAAAATTCTTATCTTACAAATCAATTAGCTCTATTAACCTTCAGGTAAGGTAATGCTCCGATAACGTTGTTGTAGTCCCTTCTGTTTACTTGGACCTGTACAGACGATCAGACAAGGTAAGCAGCAACTCTGCACGATCGCAGGACTAAGAGCCCGGAGCTAATGCCCTCCTTGTCCACACAATATTCAACCAGAAAGCTTGGCAAAAGCTCATGAATCTTCAGGGTGTGGTGCGAAGTGCAAATCAGTTCAGAGAGAAAAAGTGCCCTCGTTCTTTGTGAAGGTTAGAAAGCCGAGGTGAAACATGTGGACAATGTTAGAGAAAGTATAGGGTTTATGTCCAGGTGCTATTTACCAGTCTGCCGATAGATATATAGCACCTTGAAGGTTAAATTTTGGCTAAAAGAAGACTACTGAGTGCGTTTCCGAATGCTGAAGTCCTGGATCGGATACATATACAGTATCTCGCAGAGAACTCGGGGATCACGAGGTTTTTAAGTTGCGTAGGAGACTAAAAACACGACAATGCGATGTTTAAGGAGGTGTTTGTTATCTCACATCACTCAGGTGGATTACATAAAGTCCAATTCATAACGGCGGATTCAACCAAACCACAATTTCAGGCCGTGATTAGGCTGCAGTAAGGAGTGATCGGGTTTCACAGAAGGTGAAGCCTACTAAGTTTACAAAGAATTTCCGAGATTTTTCTTTTGTTAATCAGGGGAACCAATGGAGAACATTATGGTCCTTAGTTTCAATTTAGAGTCTGGATGGATGTGCGTGTGAAATGGACGAATGAATGAAGTTTGTACCTGTCCAGACAGACGGTTCTTTCTCTTGGTGGTCTTCTTGCTCAATAAATGCGCTCTTCTTGCTTGCCTCCTCACAATCTTTCCACTGCCCGTGACTCTGAAACGCTTGGCAGCGGCCTGAAATCACCGAGGAGGGTTTCGGTAACGCTCGTCAAATTCCAACTCAGACAAAACGGATTAAGAGATCAAAAACCTAAGAAGATGAATGACGGTCAGTGAGAAAATGCAAGCCCTCAAGCCATTCCGAAAGAAACTGCTGAATTCGCTGGTCAACTAACTACATTACGCGTTGAAAACCAAACAACATCACAGAGGCGAATACTCGTCACAGAAATAGCCATAGATAATGACATTGATGGCAGATAAGTTCGCCTCGACCTCTCTGAAGGCTTCTGACTTGCCAAACACCACTTTCTGTCCAAATATCCAGACACGCCAAGTAAAAGCTGAATTCTAAACTGCTAACTTTCGCATTCGATATATCCCTCCTTCTTCGAACATACCTTGTGGGTCTTCAGCTTGGCAACTGGGAAGCCGACCGGACGTCTAACCGTGGCAGGAGATGACACACAAGAGAAGCCCATGCCCACTCCATTTTGAGTCTTCTTCCAGCTCTTCAAAGACAAGCCGGTGAAAGAGGAACAGAGCTGTGAAACTCGCCCTGAGGAGCACGCTGCAGGAGCAGCTGCGAGGACTGTGATTCGAACGGCCGACACACCAACCGCAGCAGATGCCATCGCCATCGCCATTTCCTGAACCACTGTCGAGTATTCTCGAGTACAGAGTATTCTGCTCCGCTTCCTACACAACGTCAACAATCCGTTTCCTCCTTTTGCTCTTCCGCCTTCTCTATCCGTGTCTCTCTTCTCTCTCTCTCGGACTTGGATAATCTTTTCAGATAATCTATTTCACCATATATAAATATATATATATTTCCACGTGTTAATACACCAGCCAACGATGCATAAGGTAGAGCATTGAGCGCAAATGAGAGCTGACGTTCTCACATCCCCAACGCCTACGTCATCTGAAATATTTATGCTGACATGTAAGTTTCAGTTCTTTTGTGGCTGACGTGGATCTGTTTTGTCCTATTGAGTAGATCTGTCCACCACGTACTGTGGTAGAGTATCAGACTGGCACGGTGAGTATGTCAACCATGCATGGGAATTCTTGGGGCTCAGATACGTGCTGGTGACTGGAGAGCTCTTTGGCGCGGGCTCGCTCGTTCGACGTTTGAAGAGGAAAAACATTTCGTTCCTGAGGGAGGGAGGGAGTAGCGGACGTTGGATGGAGTAAGCGAATCGGTCTGGTACAATGTGGGGAGAAGAACGACCGCATTGTTGCAGGCGTTTGTTGTAGCTAGGAGGTGGTTGATTTTCCAGTCGGTGAGAGGCTGGACAACGATTGTTAACTGAGGTTTTACAGAAGTGTGTCGATGATGCCGTCACCGGCCAACTCCCCGTTTTCTTTCTCCACCTTTCAGACGCCGCAGCAGCAGCAGCAGCAGCAGCAACAACAGCAACAACAACAGCAGCAGCAGCAGCAGCAGCAGCAAATGTCAAACCAGCTTGTTGCTGGAAATGCGCCTCATGTTCATCTAATGAGTGCTGATCGCAGTCCACTCTCTTATCAAGCCAAGTGGTCTGACATTCATGAAGATTCCAAATCTGTTCTCCTCGCTGTTGAGTAAGTGTTTTTCCTCGAAATTTATGGATTGTTTCGATTGGCAAGGCTGTCTGTATGGGTTAGAAGAAACTGTTATCAAGCATTGCTGTGAGGCATTTTGAGCACTTTTGTCAGACATGGATTTGATTTTTTTGGACTTTCTTCGGATTGGCGAAAGAATTCGAATTCTATACATTTTTGGCTTGCTACATTCGTAGAACTTTGATGCAAAACGCAATCACGCAGAAATCTCTGTGAAGCCAAATAAATACATTTGTTCTGTTTTTTCACCAGGAATGCAGTTGCCTCTAGGATTGCAGGGTTTTAGGGTTTTGGTAGCCTGTGTGAAGACTGAATTAATAATAAGGGAGGAATTTGGCAGAGACAAGATGTTGGAGTATAGAGAAGAAAGTCGCCGATTGGACCAGTGTCAACGCCTCTATGATTCATCAGCACTTCAGAAAGGCTTTGAATTGGAAAGCCAGCGCATTTGTCAGGTGCGTCATTGTTAACCTTTACGTCCAATCCTGAGGACATCAAGGGAAATCATATTGATACTGTACACACAACTTGAACAAATACTCCGTTTGATATGATTTATGAAAATTCGAGGATTTTCTTTTCAAATGTTGAATCAAATGCAGGACATGAAGTGTTGCAGGAACTGGGAAGTGTAGGTGCTTGCATATCAAGGGAACAGCGAGCCCTGGAGGAACAGGTGCAGACTGTCAAGCTTTTGATGCGGAATACGGAAGTGGCGGTGCGATCCTTTATGATGCTGGCACAACATGCCTCTAGATCGCAGGTTCCAGCCCTTACTGTTGGTCCTACACCTCCAAGTACGTCGGCGTTGAACTATCCGTCAGCAACTCCTGCACCTCCACAGCCTACCCAACCGACTGGCCCTGCCGATTTCTACAGCGGGATACCGACAAAACCCTCTCCATTTCTTTTGCAAACTGTTCTTCGATTTGAATCTCAGTTGGCAGAATATCACCAACGAGTGGAAGAGCTCGAACGCCTCCTACAAGATGGCCATTCAAATGAAAATGGGAACCCCAACTCTGAGCTGTCTTTATTACAGTCTCTACCCACTGTCATGAGTAATGTGCATGACTTCTTCATACATGTAGCTGCTGAGGTAACGCCATTTCATCCTGCTCGCCAAATATCTCTTTCCATGTTGGATTGGCATAAATAAATTTGGTGGTTGGGGTTTCATACTTTTTTTTCCCTTCTCCACCCAACGTTGTTAAAGATGGGTCATGTATAGGACCATATGATTGTCTTTTCCTCGTGGAGATTTTTCTAGGACTAAGCTAGACAGTGTTAAATTGTTAGCATAAACTAGAAACTGATGGTCAAGCCTTCGTTATGATGTGCCTGTTGATCACAATTACTTCGAGAAGTATTGGTCTCATTCTACTAATGTCACTGACATGTCGTTTTTATTCTATTCGTTTCTCAAGCATGCTAGAACTCATCGTCATGTCACGACATTTTTATTGCATTTAGACATAGAGCGATTTGCTGACCAAACGGGATCACCGTTCAGGCCACTGTGTCAGCACTGCATAGCGATTATTTCTCGTCTGTTTCCCGGGGCTTTATTCCCGAACATCGGGTGTTGTACAGATGGAAGCTCTGCATCAGAAAGTTGAAGCAATGAGGGTGGCTTATCTTGCTGATCGTCGTCGTAGAGGAGATGATAGAGATCCTTTTCTTGAAGCTGACAGGCGGGAAGTTGCGAAACGTGAAATTGCGGCCAAAAGGGTCCATCCTACTCTCAATACGTTGATGATTCAACACACACAACAGACGCCTGGACCTAACTTCAATTCACCTTCGATGCCATCTTTTCCCGCTGGGTCACCTGCACAAAGTACGCCTTTTTCTGTTCAGTCTTCTGCACCTGCACCATCTTTGTTTGGTGCTCAAGGAACTACAAATGCCTTTCCTTCAACACCTGCACCTTTTACACCATCTACGCCTGCTGCTTCATCTCCTTTTGGTTCATCTCAATTGTCAACATTTTCTTTATTTGGAGCATCCACGCCTGCTCCTAGCAGTTCGCCTTCTTTGTTTGGAGGTTTGTTTTCTACTTATTTGGTTGAGGAACATGGGGTTGAACTTGGTGCCCTTTTGTCCTCTTGAATCCACATTTCACTTTTTTTTTCAAAAGACTGTATTTCGCTGGTTTGATTTTTCAACACTATAGCTTTCCTAGGATTGATTTAATGAGCACACAGCCAAGTTAGTATTTAAATTAAAGTTACCACATTTGGTGTGTTTATTAATTTTTCCTTGTCATGGCTTGTTGTTGTCTTCATGTTCTACTAGTATAATATTCTGGATTTTTTTGTTAGATCTTTCTATCAGCATCCAGTTGTTGAAATCTGTCACCCTTCAATGCAAGAGTTGATGTCTTTTGTGCGACCCTAGTAACCTGAGTCCGAGGTGTGATCTGGAGTTGCAGGTTCTACACCTACAGCCAGTGCACCTGCAGGTAGTTTGTTTGGTGCAGGTCCCGCTACGTCTACAGGACTGTTTGGCGCACCTACTGGAGGAGGCCTCTTTGGGGCCCAGTCTTCTCCTACTGTTTATGGTACTCCAGCAACGCCAACTTTTGGTACGAATCCAAACTAGGAAGATGATATTAAGATTCAAATTACTTGCTGATCCAAATGAGCCTTGTGGAAATGAAAGTGATAGGCGTTTAAATGACAACGATTTGGACATCCATTGATACCATAATTACGACTTCTTCGTTCTTTGGGCTTTGTGTGTGTGACGAGATAGTCGCCAAATGCTTTAGATTTTTTTTTCAAAAAGAAAACTGAATTGTTTTCCGACTTTTGCTTCACTTTCGCTATGTCGTACATTTAACATGATCCATCATTAATGCAGGATCAATTGCTCCTGCCACTGCTGCCCCACTATTTGGCATGGGCTCCACCACGGGAGGAGTAAGTGGTCCAAGTTTCTCTAGTAAAAATTTATTCAGTACATAAGCATTAGCATTTTCTTTAGGTGAGATGCTTTGTTTGTATCTAGGTGTATGATATTGTAGTCTGATTGCGAAGCCTCTAATCAAAGAGGAAGGACCATTTGATTTTATGTTCTGATACATCCTTGAGAATCAGATAGATGGGTACTGAATTCTCCTGGCAAGGAGAGGCCTTCAGCTCTCCATGTATTCTTCGCTCTTGTTGCTTCACTGTATAATGATTCTTGTACAGACCTAATCTCATTTGAACTGGCCACACTGTCTCAACATATATTTGATTCTATGAGATATCTTTATCCTTTCCTCCATGATGTGCCAACAGAATCAAAGAAGAACTTTGATATGAATGTTGACAACCGTCTCCTAACAGGGCGGAAAGAGGATTGGTTTTAGGTCTTTCATACACGAACAGTAAAGTAGCTTTCGACTTAGACGGGGACGAGTTTGGATGTAATGGTTTTACAAGTTGCTGTTAGTCTTACTGAAAGTAGTATCGCCCACTGGGGGCAGTTTTATGAGACACTCAATCATAGATTTCAGAATCCATTCAAACGTTGCTCACAGGGTGATAGCGTTCAGAGCAAGTGGGAGAGGTTACCTATGTTCAGTGAAGGCATACTTGTCTAGAATATCGGGGGATTGTATGATCTGATGACCTGGATGCTTACAGGCATGACGATGATTTTTTTGGATGCTTTCGATTTGCTGCAGGCTGCTGCTGCAAAACCGAAACCACGAGGACCAAGAAGGAAGTAAGTCTGGGTGGTAGTTGGGGTCATTCTATTCCTTTGCAAGAATACCACATGTATTACTTCTATGTCAACGTGGTGTCAGTTCCGAAATCTTAGACTATATACAGCTTTGCAAAATCTATCACTTGGGCAGATAACCTTACACCATCGAGCAAGTGAAGCTTTAGTTAGCAGCTCTATTGAGCTCGATATATTCTGGGATGAATCCAAGAGGGCGTACATCTCGGATAGTAATTTCAGAGAAAGGTGTGCAGCTCTATCTGCACAAAGTCTGGGACGCTGGATATCTTCAATCCATGCCAGTGGTGTAGGAATATGAAGACGTTTAAGATAGCGTCTACCCCCGTACTCGTCATCATCCACCAGTCTGGAAGTTCCCGCCCGTAAGTGAAGGTGCTCTGTTGTTGGAGGCAGACAAGTACTGGTCACCTTCGGAACCTGCGCTTCCACTTTAGGTTAAATGATGCCCTAAGCTGTGAGCTCAAGGATACAAAACGTTCAATCAACTTGTAGGGATACAGCTAAATCTGAAGTCAGCAGAGTCAGCAGCAGGGCTTGAGCTGCATTTTTCATCAGTATGTACTATATGGCATTCGGGGGTGTAGACCATCACCCGTCTTGATAGGAATGACTAATATACGTGGGTTGAACCTGCCGTGAAAGTAAGTCGTCTGGATTACTGCGAAGAACTGCGGAGAATTATTTTTGACACAAGTTACTACTTCTGAATGAAGAGCAGTCTTTTTTTGTACCATCTGACTGACGTTTGGCCGGGACTCTTGTGTTCATGGGACGTTCTGTTTATAGCATTTGTTGCAAAAGGTAAAAGAATGTTTGTTTTACTCTGTTCTCGAAAGAAAATTCGACCTCGATCTGGCATTCATTGGCAAGTATGTGGATTATGTCTCTCATCGACTCTTGATTTCCGGTGATGTGGATGTAGGGTTGCTTAACATACTGCGGATTGTATCCTCCCGCCACAGAACGGACGAAGACAGTTTTTCATGAACGAGAAGCGGACAAGGAACGAACGAACGCGGATGTAATGGCACCTCTACAAACGATTTCAAACTGTAAGATAAAAACACGGAACTCGCCTATAAGTTATTTAACTTAACACTTCAATCTCGTTTACACAATCGCCGAAATTAATTAGCTCACTTAAGCCCTGTAATATGTAAAAGAAAAAGAAAACTCTTGGGAGGAGTTTTGAATGTGTAGCTTCCGAATCCGAGGGGAGTGCAATCTGATGAGGTAGATTATCATTTCATGATCATTGAGTGCGTCGTACTCTCACACGCTTCCCGACTTGCTGCTGGCTCGAGCTTCGGACCTCTAGAACACCTAGGCACCAGACTGAATCCACCCCTAGACAAATCCGATGGCAGGATACGTTTTCCCAAAGATTTCCACAAAAAGCCTCAAATCCATCTACCTCAAACAGTTTCTAAAGCCACTCAGCCTCCTAAACAGCCCATCCGTTAGTTCTCGTAAACTCATGTTTTTTGTAAGGAAAAGATGGAAATCGACCTCGACACTGACAGGCAGCCGTGCTGCTAAAAGACAGTCGGGCAGGAGAAAGATCGTGTCTACACGCTCAAAGCAGACCGGAACAAGTGATTTCGAGCGACCAGGCAAGACGCATCGACTCTGAATTTCTTCTAGGTTGTCAGAGATTCAACCTTCACATTTATACAAACCGCCCTTTCAATGGGTTGTTTACCTGGAAAAGAAAAGACTGAATTCCATACCGACGAGCACGACCATCTGTCATTCCGGAAGGCATCCGTGGAGAGTTAGAAGCTCATTGCAGAAGAAGACACCTAGATTTATGTGGGGCGACGAACGCCAATAGCCACACGGTGGGTGGATGCGAAGGAGGTAAACTTTTCCCGAGATCGACGAAGCTTCGCGAAGTTCAGATTGAGCTCAATGAAGGCTTCGCGAAGCTCCGAATTCTCCGGAAAAGTTTCTCTGATCACGATCACCACCAACTCGACCGAGAATTCAGTGTCAGAAGCGGAGAGCCTCGCGGAACACACGTTTCTCACTTGTTCGACCCAACACCACGAATCGGAGCCACTTATGAAGCCATCCATCCATCCAGCCGACCAGCAGGCCAGAGCATCGACGTGCACTTCCAGAGACGAAAATCACAAATGGATGCATGATCAGCTCATGAAGTGTTCGGAAAGTTTCGACCTCATCTCTTTTAAAGGAAGTTTCGAGTTCCCATAGCGAGTGACGTTTGACGGACCGGACAGTTTTACTCGTTGGCTCCAGCCTGTTCATGTGGTTCACTGGTAAGTTAAACACAAATCTCGTTCAAGTAAAATGGTCTAGTGAAGGTCATGGCAGAGAGACTCCTTATTTAGGTTTCATTAGAGCCAATGTGCTGCAGCGATTTACCGTCCATTGTGCTACATTGCTTGGATCTCCCTTTAACTTGCCGAGCAATTTTGCAAATGTCGTGCAACTTCCATCTTCTTTCTACGTACAGGTATAGTTGTTCGCATTTAGTTTCTATATCTCGTATTTATTCTTAAGTTTCACGATAGTGATATTCAATCTTCTCTCACAATACTTGTTCACATTTAATTTAAATATTTTGTACTTCTTCTCCAAGATTCACATGAGTGACATTACAAGTCACAGCCAAGGTGATTGGCTCAAATGCAATTTTACAAAGCTAGTGACATGAGGCATCAAACACTTGTAACAACTTTTAATATTTCAAAAATATCTCAAATTTTCAAAATGCATCTTGTACTTTTTTTGGAAATGGAAGTAAATTATTAACCATGAAATTATGCAAGAAGAATTTTCCTTCACTTAGATGTGTTCATTATTTTTTTTGAAAACAAAAGCTCACTCTAAGCTGTTGTATTAATCTAATTCACAATTATCATCATGTCCAAATTGATATTTAAAAAATAAAATACAATTCTGTATGTTCTTGCTTTTAACTAAAGATCTGTATTAATTTGACAATACAATGATATTTTTTTTTTAAAAATTACAAAATAATTATATTTCCCTCTATTTTTTAATGGCATGTTAGCTTTGTAACTTTAATAAGTTAGCTAGTGGCTCTTTACTCCAGTTCTGATCACTAGATACCTTTCAAGTTGATTTTGCGATTAGTAGAGTTTGTTGAAGTTTGTTTGAAAAGAAAAATAGCTACATGACTACTTCAATATGTGATCTTGTTACCAAAATACTGTTCAATTTAGTTCCCATTTCCACCAACAAAACTATCATGCAATGATATGAGATCACATTTATGATAAAGTATATTTGAATAGAATATTGTTATCAGGGATTTCTTTTGTTTTTACATCATGTTAATGTTAGAAATTCACTCAAGTATTGATTTTATTACAATTAAATATAACTTGGGTAACTTATGCAAGACAATATGTCACCATATAAAAGAGCTCATCTAAGTGTTACTTGAACTCATCATGTTTCTTCTTATTTTGTAACTCCACTTGCAAGTGTTTATGGAAAGTCTTTGATTACTCATATGAACATGTTGTAGCGAGTTGAAAACGTGACAGATTCATGAGAATAACTGATTATGTTATATAACTAATCAATTTTTTTTTAAAAAATCAACTCATGATGTTGTAAGTTTACAAAATTTGTTAATGTAAGATTTTCATTCAAGTTTTTATTTAGGTCATGTTTGATTAATCAAAATTCATCAATATCTAAAGACGGTCTTAATATAAGGTTATTGAAAACAGTTTTTAGAAATTTGTTAGTGTAGAATCTTAAATTGTCTTTGGATGTAATCGTAAGAAAGAAAAATGTCCAATGTGAATTGTGACTCTATTCTCTTGTATTGATTATGCGTACACATTTAGACTTTCTTTGTAAAATTGATATCAAAGTATTGAACATGTTTGACAAATTGAATAAGACATAGTTAATGATACCGTAAGGTCAATTGACGTTTTATTAACCAGAGTTAGTTTGAATGTAGTTAGGTTTAGACTCTAGTCAGGATTTGGAATACTTAGCCCTAGAATGAGTACGTTTGAGTTGAATCTCATATGTACATTTGCAGAAAGAGATAGTGAAGAGCTTGGCTATGTAGTATTGATATAACATTCTTCCTTAAGTGAAACTTCTATCACATCTGTTGACGTAACCTCATGTGAAAGTGAATCATGTACATAAATGTGCAGTTTTTGTTGCTTTTGTATGTATGAGCATGTCTGAAGAACAAAATTGAATACCTACAATTGATTTCAAAGCGAGGTTTCACTTTTGATTTGTAGTTGACGCTTTTGATACAAAGTACTATTGTAACACTACGATTAAGATAGAAGCTCACTTGAAGATGAGATATCTTGAATGATTCTCTTTTTACTTATATAGTTTTTTCAAACACATACACAAAGATAATGTCTTTTTTTTCACTATTCAATCCAATTTTAGTGAATTGATGACGTGTTGTTTCCAACTAGCACACTAAATAGCACCCACAACTAGCATACAGATTTTTGAAGTGACATTGCAGATATTCCATTATCATCTACTGTACTCAATCTTAAATAACCTGCACTTTAGTTGTAACTAACCGAAGATGATTACAACAAATTTTCATTTTTGTGATATCTCATTTTACGATTGCTGACAGATCTTAACTTCTTTTGAAGGTGAAGAAGATTTGTCACGGACAAGAGCAAAGTTTGCATCATCAAGTTGATTTGATTAATATTTGAGAAAACATTGTATTTTATAACTATGACTGCATGAAGATTTTAAACTTTGCTTTCCGTTGGAGATATTTTTTTGTGATTTTTTTTCATTTTTTGCTCGATAAATTTTTTTCTTTTAAATTGTTGAATCATATTTCAAATAAGAAGTAAAAACATGTCTAGCATCAAAAAGATTATTGTTACTATTGTTGTTTTACTTCAATTTTCTAAATCTACAATATTTTGAGTATTGCGGTATGCATTTTTCTTTGTTTGGAAAATTTTCATCTTTTTCCAAAAGAATACCTTAAGTTTTTTATTTGAAAAAACGGTTAGAAGGTGTGCAAATTGAGTAAAATTTGCTCGGAAAAATTGTTCATTCATGAATAGCAAATGTATACATGCATTTTTGCAAGTATAACTTGCAAAATGTGAGTTGCACTTGTTGTCTCACGTTTTTTTTCTCTGGAAAAATGAAATGCAAGACAGGCGAAGAATGAAGATTTAGGGCATGCTCAAAGATTTGCGTATCTCGTTTTAGAATACAATATACGGACGGGAGTAATTTGTAAATCCTAAATCATCTTTGGCAATTCACATGCTCAAACATCTCTCTAATAACCAATTCAAATTGTAGGTTAGGATTTAGAGTACTTCTATTTTTAATCAAAAAGTTCCGCCAAAAAATGACAATGTAGCAAGGAGATATACTAGCAAAGAGCTCAATTTGACCACAGGAGAAAAATACAAAATGTCAACTTTTTTAGAGAATAACATCTACATGAGATATTATTGTACCATAATATCTAATTTAGTTGAGCAACAACGAGAATTGGTTTTTTGGAATATCATAAAGTTTTTTATTTTTAATGATCAAGATTTTACTTGGGTATCAAATTTTGAATTTTTGATCCACTCCACTAAAAATTTGTTCGTACGATAAATTTTTTGACAAACTGTTTTCAAAAAATAATGTCACATCTGCGAAACTACACAGGCGATGCACTCAAATTTTAAATTTTGTGAAATTTGTTATGTTACAAC